GAAAGCATCAAACCTCAAGTTTGAGCATTTCAAGCCTATTTTTCATTCAATATTCATTTTGCTTTCAAGAACACTACTTGTACTCAATTGTATTCATTTTTAGTGTTCTTTTCTTTGTTCTAGAATTGTGCAAACAAACTACCTTATGAGAATTTCCTTGTAAGTTTGCAAATTTGTAATCTTCTCTTTGAGAAAGAGTGTTCTCAAGAATTGGGATATATTCTTGAGAGAGTTGTAAGGTTATCTCTTTGGCCTCAAAAGAAAGAAAAAATTAGTGAATTTGTTGGAAAATCCTTAGTATGGATAGCTAAGGTAGTGGACGTAGATTTTGGTTGAGAAAGTCGAACCACTCTAAATCGCTGTGCAATTTCTTTCAATTTTCTGCAAAAGCTTTCACTAAAATTTTAATTGTCAATTCACCCCCTCTTGGCCGATTCCATCGATCGATTAACTCAACAGAAATATCAAAATACTCAAGAACAAAACTCCTCATACTTTGATGGGCTGGTGATTTTTAATAAATAATGCGATAGTGAGATCAATCAAGGATGAAATTTCGGTACCCAAACAGGGATGAGTCATGGAAGTACCTACATTAGGGCATGACCAATGACCCATATCATGTTGAGATAACAAGGTTTGGACCAAAAAGACATTGAGAATGAGCCTCAAAACTTGGAGTGTCATGGACATGCCATGAATTTGAACATAGCTTACCTTGTGGAGAAAATCATTCAAGCATTAATTAGCTGTAGAGTCATGGAAAAATAACTCTGATAGCGCAATTAAGTTGAGGGAAAAAATGGGCATCAAGGTCATGTTCCTGAACACAGCAAGAATATGAGAAACGAAACATCTTTTATGATACATTAATGCAGATAAAAGAAAAAGTAAAAACAAAGATATAAGATGATCATATAGCTCTTCAGGGATACAAGCTTGAAATTTTAAGTTGCTACACTAATATCTGAGTAAACCTTAGAGAAGAGTGGTCAAGTAGAAGAAGACCAAGTTCTCCACTTTGGAGTCAAAGAAAAATTTAATCAACATTTATGCATTCATGAGAACATCATTTACATAAAAAAATGCATTACATTGATACATTTAATTGAATTCGTGTTTCACACATAAACACATGATTTTTATAGATCTTTCAGTGAAAAGGAAAGATCCATGATGTCAAAATCTCAGCTAATGAAAGCTAGAATTCAAACCTCAAATACAGGGAATCATGTTTAGAGAGGCAGAACCTGAAGAACAGGTGGCTCAATCCATAGAATAAGCATTACTTTGAAGTGGGGCATGTTGCCCGACCATTAAGTCGTTTTATAAATTTAAAAAATGAGAAAAGTTTCTCATTTAGTGTATTCAGAAAATGAAATTTTTGAAAAGTAAGAAAAGTTTATTACCTAGTAAACTATTCCCAAATTTGGTAAGTCCTTCGAGCTATCAGTAAGTCTCTCGAGCATGATGCTTAAATCATTCGGGTTATATGTAAGTCTTTCGAGCAAGAGATAAGTTTGTCGGGCGATCCATAAGACTTTCAGGTAGGATGTTTTCACATGTCTCTCAAAAAATGAGAAAAATTTCTCATTTAAATCTGAAAATTAAAATTTTTGAAAAGTAAGAAAAGTTTCTTACTTAGTAAATTGTTTCCAAAATTGGTAAGTCTTTCGGGTTATCAGTAAGTCTTTTGATCATGATGCTTAAATCCTTTAAGTCATCTATAAGTCTTTCAAGCAAGATAATAAGTCATTCGGGTCATCCACAAGACCTTTGGGCAGGATGTTTTTGCATGTCTCTTGAAAAATGAGAAAATTTTCTCATTTAAATCTGAAAATTGAAATTTTTGAAAAGTAAGAAAAGTTTCTTACCTAGTAAACTATTTCTAGGATTGGTAAGTCCTTTGGGCCATCAGTAAGTCTTTCGAGCATGATGAGTAAATCATTCGGGTCATCTATAAGCCTTTCGAGCAAGATGATAAGTCCTTTGGGCCATCCATAAGACCTTCGGGCAGGATGTTTTCGCATGATTTTCCAAAAAAATGAGAAAACAATTTCCAAAGTCTCTCATCAAAAATCTTTTCTGAAAAATTAAATTTTTAAAAAAATAACCAATTCAAAGTCCCAAAAAGAGAGAGGTTCAATTGACACTCAAGTCGAGGAAGATTCCCATATTTGGTGGTTGTGAGACAAATTTCCACAAGAAAAATCATTTTCTAAAGATTATCCTCCCAAGACTTTCAGGTATGATGTTTTCAAATTCTCAAACACATACTAACAGGGGTTAATGTTTAATATTTAGATTTTATATTCTTGAAGACAAGAAAAGTGAATCGAACTCGATTCAATCTTCCATGAGGAATAGTGGAATGAATCAACGTCCCCATATATGATATTCCCTTAAGAAGAAGCAGAACAAATCCCTCTCTTTCAAGATTTGATCTTCCTTGAGGAACAGTAGAACAAGTCTGCCTCGATTCAATCTTTCCTGAAGAACAGTGGAATGAATCAATGTCCCCATATTTGATTTTCCCTCAAGAAGAAGCGGAACAAATCCCTCATTTTTAAGATATGATCTTCCCTGAGTAACAGTGGAACAAGTCTGCCTTGATTCAATCTTCCCTGAAGAACAGTGGAATGAATCAACGTTTCTCAATCTGATCTACACTGAAGAAACAAGTGGAACATATCCCTTATCAGATTTTAAAGCGCGGAGATGGTACCGAACAAAAACGCATTGTCTTTTATCTTTGCCCTATTCTTGTTAACACAAGAATGGGCAAAGAGAGGCAGCTGTCAACACCTATTTTCATCCAGAAACCCTTTTTATTTATTAATATTATTAATATCATTATATTAATATTATTATTATTTATTTTCACATACCAGAATTACATGCCAAACCGAGCCCAAAACTACAACTGAAGTAGGCCTAAACTAGCAAAAGCCTAGAAAATTTAGGGTTTTAGAAACCCTAACTACATCAAGCATCCAAGCATCAGTCGTCGCCGCCAAGGCATTCCAAAAACATCCATGCGTGCTCCCAACGCTGTGACTCCACAGCTTCCAAGAGTTAGGCCTCCACGCGAGCATCACCGTACCACCACCAGCACCAAATTCGCTCCTCGTCAGATTCATGCAAAAAAAGGAAGAAAAATTGATGAGATGTAAAAGCACCTTCTTTTTTCTTCTCTTTCATTTTTAAGGAAAGATTTGTAACAAAGGAAAAAATAAAACTCTGGAAAGAAATCATAGAGATAATGCTTTTTTTACTCGAATTATAAAACCTACAAACAACATATAAGAGGGATTCGGTTCGAATATACAACAAAAAGTCCCATATTCAAAAAGGAATACAACCATCAAGGTATTTTTTTACCTTTTGTGTCAAGCTCTTCTTCTTTTATTTCTCTGGAAAACAGAAAAAATAAAGTCTAAAAATGAACAAACTATTTTTTTACCTTAGTGGTAAAGCCCTCGTCGGTAGAGAGTGGTCGTCAAAAAAGGGGAATGAGACTTCCTTTAGGAGTTTTTGGTTGCCGAAGGTCCTAAAGGTTGAACCTTTCGACCGTTTAGGGGCTCTTTTTTAGTTTAGAGGTGTTTTGGGTTTAGGTTTAAGGTTAAAGGTGAGAGATTTTTTAGGTAGGTTTAACATCAATGATGTCCAAGGGGTAAAACTCCGCTGATATACGACGGTGTTGGTTTTTTCCAGTTCGGTCGAGAGTTTTTTTAGAGGGGTTTGTTTTTTGGGGCTTTTGGGTTCCAATTGTGGCTAGGGTTGAAGAAGGGGAGGCCTTAGGAGGTTGTTGGAGCAAGGTTTGGCCATCGATGTACGGTGACCGATCGATTTTCTAAAATTTTTAGGTGTACCGGTGAGAGAGGAGGTAGAGAGGATTTAAGAAGAAATAAAATAATGAAAGAGAGGCTAAGGTTTCCTCTTTGCCCAAAATAACTAAAATGTGGTATTTATACGTCAAAAAATGGGAAAATCACGCATAACCCCTCCCTTTTTGCCGTGTTTTTACAAGCTAGTTAACAAACCTCTACGTTTTTTATTATTTTATTTTTGTCACTTTATTTTCATTACTTTTAATTTAGTCACTAATCTGTTATATTCCATTCTTGCTTGTTTTGATTTCAACCCTTTATTTTTGTTTCTTTTAATTTAACTAATAACATACTAACATTTTATTTTTATTGTTCATACTAACATTTTATTTTATTGTTCATACTAACATACTAACATTTTATTTTATCATTCGTACTAACATACTAATATTTTTATTTTATTGTTCATACTAACATTTTATTTTATTGTTCATACTAATATACTAACTTTTATTTTATTATTTATACTAACTTACTAACATTTTATTTATTTGTTCAAGCTAACCCGTTAACTCCCTAATATTCGAATATTCAACGACCTTGCGGTGACCCGCCCTAGGGTACAACCCACATTATTTATGGTCCAGGTTAAACTGTTATTTAAAATGAGCCCCCAACTTTTAAACTTAATATTAAATATTCATGTTTTTACTATTATTTTTTATCTTTTTGTTCATACACTTTAATTTTCGGTATTTTATTTTTTTTGTCTCTTTAATTTTCTGCATTTTATTTTAGTTCTTTAAAGATTCCATCACTTATTTTTCTATGTCCTCATTTTATGCATCTTACTTTGCACTTCATTTTATTTTAGCCACCAATATTGCTTGTGGTTTATTTATTTCCAGCATCTACGTTTTTTATTATTTATATTTTAAGACTTGTTCATTTCGTTTTTTTTTCATGCTTTAAATTTTGGCCATAAACTCACAAAATGTTCATGTTAGTCCCTCATTTATACAATTAGAGAACAAAAATTGGATTTATATTTTAGACATATTAAGAATATGTGTTCTCTCTAAAAAAATTAAACGAATATTATCTTGTACGGGAAACTTATGTAAACGCACCTTAACTAACAAAGAATGTGTTTTCAAGAATTGACCACACAAAATAATATTTTTTTCTACTCCAATGGTTTCTTTATTTATTTCATTCACTCTTTTACATATATATTAAATATAATTTAAGAATAACATGGTAACGATCTTTGGTATAGAAAATCCATAAAATACGCCTTAATTAGCAAGAAGTGTGTTTTTTAAGATGGTTCGTACGAAATAATACTTTTTTTGAAAATTTTTAATAGGATCATAATTTAAATGTATATTCAAATTTGTCAATTTCAATATTCAGATGATGTATATTCGCTTAGATACCGATTTTGGGCGTTGTGGGGTGTTAATCCTTTCCCACGCGTAATCGACTCTCGAACCCTTTTCAAAACAAGTTTCTGGTTAAACGCATATCCCTTTTTATCTTTTAAAAATTATTTTTCTTAAAATTATTTTAAAAGATATATTTTTTTGTTATTCGACGTACCTAATCCAAAGGTCGATGGCGACTCTGAATCTATTTATTTGTTCTTTATTTTAAAACCCAATATTTTTAAAAAAAATTAAGTTGGATCACATCCCGCCATAGCCCTAAAAAAGCTTAAGGACCTTTCCGACATTGCTACTATTAGATTATCCTTATTTCAACTTCATAATGTATTTTTATTATATGATATGATCTAATTATTCTTAAAATCATTAAATTTATCATGTGATACTAACTCATTTACGGAGAGGATATGAAAATTAAATTGCATAAACGAATTTAAAAGGTTCTAATAATAATTTTCTTTTTAAATTAGGTTGTATATATTTATTGAATTAATTTTGGAGTGATTATAAGGTAATATATGTCCAAAATCTTTCTTAATTATTGACAATGCACGTACATCCTAGAGAAACTATTGTTCATTTTCGTAACCTCTAAGAAGAAGAACATTCTCGTTTATCATGTAACCCTCTCAATGAATTTATTCATTTATACTTTGTTTAGAGTGAAAAAAAATGAGAATGAAAATATTGAAAATAAATTGATCAAATTACATGATAAAAAATCTCATAATTTGATTATCACTCATACTATGACAAATCGTACTATGACAAATCATATTATGACAAAGTTGATTAACTCAATATTAATATTATTAATATGGGATAAGTACAATACATTATTTGTTTAAAGATAACTCTCAACCTCTTGACATTGGACACTCGCATCCCTAGAATTTATGATGTTTGAATCTAGATCCTCAAGGAATAATAGCAATTCCTTTACCACAAAGACCACGTGGTTCGTGACAATATTAATGTTTAGATAGCATCATTTTGCTAATCAAAATCCTCAAAATCTTAAGCTCCAAAAATGTCAAGAGATAAATAGATGAAAAGGTCAAGTAGGAAAAAAATATGGGTTAATTAATACTTTTTAAATCAACAAAATGATGGTGATTCAATTTTGGGTTCAATTTTGAGAAAACTAAATCAACAAAATGAGGTGATTCTGATAAACAATAAGATGGTGGCTTCTGGGAAAGAATAACACAATGATTGTTGGAAATCTATTATATTTTTAAAATTTATTTTTTTTAAATTTCTTAGTGTAAGAGTTTCGAACTGATAAAATATGTAAAATTTGTGAACTAAATTTTTAAACCTAAGATCGAATTGAGATAACATGTAAAGATGAAAGATACAACTTATTATTATACAAAATTTAAGATCCATAATGGGATGATGAAAAATATAGTTTACCCTTAAAATTATTCACTCTTTTATTTAAGTCTTATTTGGCAGATGTTTCTGACAATTGTAAATTTATAGTATCCGTAGATACATCAATTGTACCAAAAAATAGAACCACCCAACGAATGGATGAATCTTAAAGCTAACCCTACCAAACTTTACGTACTCGGTCGTGCTTTGACCAAAGTATTAAAACAAGAAAAAAAATCCCATTTGATTTGCAAAGTCGAAATCAATGATTCAATATATCTTAAAATGGGTCACCCGGATCCATTGGCAGGCACAAAACCCTTCTCCCACGTGTAGAAAATGCCGACACACGTGTGAGTTGATCCCCATAAAGAGAACATCCTTGTTCTAGTTTTTCTTGGGTAAATGAAGTATGCAGTCATCTAATTATTCACACAATTATGTTTGGTCACCCATATATAGGTATAGGGATGGGATCCGAATCCGACGAGTTCTGATCTCACCCAACCCGATCGAATAGGATTTTTTATAAAAAAAAATTAGGTTCGGGTAGGGTCGGGTCGAGTCAGATTTTTTAGAAGTTACGTTCGGTTTGGGTTTACAGTGAAAAATACTCAAGCTGAATCAATAAGAATATATAATTTTACAGTTATATTTAGAGATAATTACAATAATGTCTCTCTATATATTAATTTTTTCAATTAGATCTTTATTTTTATTGAATAAAAATAATGTTTTTTTAATAAATATATTATTTCGGGTTGAGTTGGGTTTAGATTTTATCTTAAAAAGTCGAATTGGGTTAGGATTTTATCTCAAAAGGTCAAGTTGGGTTCGGGTCAGGTGGAAGATATATGATTTTCAGGTCGAGTCAAGTTGATCGAAAATCCTACCCTACACGACCCATGCTCATCTCTTCCCATATATATATTTTAAATCATATTTGATATTATTTTGATTATCTAGAGTTAAAAAATAAATAGATCTGCTGACATGATATTTTTTAATTCTTTTTAATAATGATGTGATATTATCTTGTGGTGACAGTATCATCACTAATTTTTTGAATGATGAATGAATAAATCAAAACTAACATATAATATTAGATATAATTTTAAAGAAACTAGTCTAATAACATAAAATGTAATCACACAAATAGGTTAATGATTAAATACAAAATTTACCCTTTTTTTCAAGACTTAACACCTAAGGAAAGTGTAAATTAAAAAATAAATGAAGGGGAAAGAGGAGCTACTAGAAGACTCAGCACCTCTTCTGCCACGTCAAACCGCGTTTTTTCCCTCATCGCTCGTTTTCTACCTACTTACCTTTGTAAAATGTAATTAATTAATTAATTAATTTCATTTTGGATTATGACAAGTTAACACCTAATCTTAAAATCACCCAGCCCAGCTTCCAGGAAATTTCTCAACTCTCATTTCCCTTTAATCTATTTAATCCCAACTTTTACCTTGTTGTCTCTGTCATTGTCTTGTTTCATAAGTTAATACAGATTGAACTCTCTGTTTTTGTCAACCAGTTTGTGAAATTATCTTCCATTGGAGATGGAGAACAACCAGCAATCCTTTTGGCAGTTCAGTGATCAACTAAGAGTCCAAAATTCAAACTTGGCTAATCTTTCACTCAATGATTCCATATGGAGCAACGCTTATCTTCCCAAGAGGCCTGATGAACGGAGGAATTTTGATATCAGAGTCGGCGGTGACGTTAATTCCCTCACCAACTTGAAGCCAAAGGTCTCCGATTTCAACTCTCTCAGTAACGATGGGTGGAAGATTGGAGCCACTAGCAACAACGGCATCGGGTTCGGTCCGGTTGGATCTCAGAAGAATTTAGGAATCAACGGAGGGTTCAATAAAGGGATTTATTCAAATCCAGTCAGCAACAATAATTTCAATGTTAATTTGAAGGCTAACAAGAATAAAGGAGAGGAGAATCATGGAAGCAAAAATGGGAAGAAGAAGAAGAACAATAGCGACAACAATAGCAACGAAAATAAGGATAAAGATGGGAAGACTTCTGCTGATAAGAGGTTTAAGACACTGCCACCATCTGAGTCTTTGCCGAGGAATGAAACTGTCGGCGGATATATCTTTGTCTGCAACAACGATACTATGGAAGATAATCTCAGGAGACAGCTCTTTGGTATGTCTTTGGTCATGTTCTTTTCCTCTGTAAAAGTGTTGTTTTTGAGATTCAGTTCTAATTTGTTGCTATGAATCATATGCAGGATTGCCTCCACGTTACCGAGATTCAGTCCGGGCAATAACTCCGGGCCTGCCTCTGTTCCTCTACAACTATTCCACCCACCAACTCCATGGAGTTTTTGAGGTGCCGACACTATTTCTTAACTCTGATTACTGTTTTTTTTTTTTTTGTCCTAACTGTGTTTGAAAATTATAATAATGGTCCGATGTTATTCTATTCAGGCTGCAAGCTTTGGTGGATCAAACATCGACCCAACTGCCTGGGAGGACAAGAAATGCGCCGGCGAATCAAGATTCCCTGCTCAGGTATTCATTTCATTATTACAATTTATATAACAGCAAATTATGTTATTTTTAGTATCTTTGGAGCAATACCAAGGGTTTTGATTCTCCTCCACAGGTTCGTGTTATTACAAGAAAGATCTGCCAGCCACTTGAAGAAGACTCATTTAGGCCAATTCTCCATCACTACGATGGTCCAAAGTTCCGGCTTGAACTCAACATTCCGGAGGTAAAATTTTCACTTTAATGCTAATCTAGAATTTTTCCTAGTTTTACCAACTTGGGTTAATTTTACTTATGCTGTTAAAATTTGCAGGCACTTTCCCTGTTGGATATATTTGCTGAGCAAGGTGCTAGCTTGGGTTCTGATTTTAATTTCTGAGCAAGATACTTGAGCAAACTTGATACTAGGAATACGTATACACGTACACGAAGATAAGAGAAAGAGTTGAAGAATAAGTAGAGAAAAATAGAGTAATGTATTTGTGAAACAAAGACAGTATTATGGATCCACAACCTGTTGGATGTAAAGCATTTTTTCAAACGGGCTAGTTATGTTTGTCCTGTTTTTTTAATATAGATACGGTTCGGTGTACTGTATTTGTATACATAAATAATATACTTGAAGCAAGTGATGAACATCAACTTAATTTGTGATATTATATGTGATGTATTTTGAGATATTGGTGTACACATTTGCATTGTAGTTCCAACAGGTTATTTGTTTGTTGTAGGAGCTCAAGAAATGATGTGAAAGTCAATGGAGGATTGCCTAATAATTTTCTCACCAAAAATGAAGCAATTGACTACAAACAATTAAGAAGCTCATTAAGGCTCTTTAATTTAAATTTAATATGCACAGCTAAACTGATTGATCCACGTAAACTGCTTATGAACATGCCTAACAACTCCGCTAATTCTTATGGGCTAAAATTAGAGTGAAATAGTGAGACAAAAATTTACTTGTCTAAATTAGGTGATTGGTTGAGTAATAGTAAAGTAGTTGAGGAAGATTTTAATATGATCGCAAAGTAGGAATTAAAATATTAATTTCTAAAATTTATTTTTTAAGTGAAATGGTTACTAAATAATTTGGTAAAATTATAAAATGATCTTCCGATTAAAGATGTTGTTTTGTTGAGTCTTGGATTATTAAAAGTTGTAAAATAATCATTCGACTATTCATTTACTCTAAACTCATCATTTTCTATTAAAAATTGATTGTTGTCTAAACTTGACTTAAACTTACTGACTGAGATATAATAAAATTTGATTTCAGAACTGTTTGAGTTATATTTTGTAAATTTATTCTTCATTTACATTATGTTGTCAATTCAATCCTTAAAAGTAACAACATTACTAGTAAATATAAAAAAATATGATTTTATCATATATCAGTCAACAAGTTAACTTTTAGCTTAAACAGACATTAATTTTTTAACGAAAAATAACAACTTTAGAACATATGAATAATTAGATTATTATTTTATAACTTTTAATAGTCGGGGACTTAGCAAATTTCGTTCTATAGTTAAATGATCATTTTATAAATTTTAATAATTGAGAAATTTCACAAAATAACGTTCTATAACCAAGAGATCATTTATATACTTTAATTAATTAAATTTTAATCTTCCACTACCCCAATTTGGGCCGTTGTTAAGTTTCTTTAGCAGTCCATCTAATGTTATTTAAAGAGCAGTTTGAATAAAATTTAGAAACCGGAAGCGGATAAACTTGTTTTTTAATGCAATGGGCGGTTGAGGCGTCAGCCACAGAAGGGTAAAAGTGGAAGTATGAAAGGCCATCTTTTCTCATAACATTAGACCACTCCTTCAATCAAGGCTCCTTTTTATGCCAAATTGTGGTTGGGAAAATCTCCACTATTGTAATACAATATCCCTTTTGTTTTTAATATATGGTTCAATATTTGATTGTTGGTCAGAAATTGAAGTTGCGTGCCTTGTATGTGAATTTATAAGTTTAATTAACTTTATATTTTTATTCCATATAATTATTTTGACAAATATGATTAATTATTTTTATTAATCTAATAATATATTTTTATTTTATAACAAAATAATTAATATATACTTTGAAGAAATAATCATAATATTTATCTATCCCAGGCGGTTCTGCGCCTAACCCTCTATTAAGAGAGCTAAGACTTGTGTCGTCACCTTATTGATTTATAAAAATTAATTAAAATTAATAAAAAAAATTAAAATTTACAACATTAACAATTCTATTAAGTATTTAACGGAAAATGATCAAAATAAAATCAAAACGTTAGATTTGATTTTGAAAAAAAAACATGATGACTAAAATGGAACAAAAATGATAGACAAGGTACTAAACTTGTAGTTTACCCAATTTATATTTATGTTAGGTAATTTTTTAAACAAAACAAATTCAATAACTCGATCATATCGATCCAAAATACTAAAAGAAAAAATAACGATTAAAATAAAATAAGTATTTGTATTTTATTTAAATTTTGACATATATTATCCATATGGGTGATCGAATTATTAAAATAAAAATTGCATAAAAAGTTGAAAAGAATATTTAGTTTTTACACTAATGTAACTGAATGTTCCCACGTCATGTTTGTTCACCAGGTCTGGCTTTTCTGATAGCAACAAAATCTTGGAGTTGCAGTTACATCTCATTCCAGGCATTGGTTATCTTTTGAACTTCCTTCGACCTTGCTTGTTCTTGCTGCAATGATGAATCACATTATGTCATAAAACCAGAATGCTGAAACAAAATGGGCAACAAAGTAAAGAGTTTGGTTGGGTTCAGTTCTTACTGTCAACTTAAAGTTAACAAAATATCAGTACAGAATGGTTGAATCAGTTTGAATCAACGACTAGAAATAACAAAAAGGGCTGAATCGATTATAACTATGTATCAGAAATATGGTCTGGCAATCACACTCATTGAAGGAGGATTTGGTCTGTATGGTGGCCGGTGAGGAAGGGTAGATCAATCTACTCAGAAATATGTATCAACTAACCTTTTCCCTACTTGGTTCAATCTACTTACGCGAGGCATTAATCTCGATGCAATGTGTAATTCATGCGGACAGGAGGTCGAGGATGGTACGCATATTTTCTGGAGCTGCAGTTGTGTGACAACGGTTTTTGCCAATCCATGCTTCAGCTTTTTAACCCATCAACATCACAAAATCTGTAAGGGTATTATCCGATATTTGATCTCCTACGGCACCATAGACATGCTTCAGGAACATTTGGTAATGTGTTGGAGAGTGTGGGGTATTCGAAATAGTTTTTATCAGACCGGAACAGCTCCTGATTTTTCCTTGGTACCCGATTGGTGTACCAAGTATATCCACCAGTTGAAAACAATAAATATACGACAGTTTACTGGGTTTGGAGAGTGCTTACTAGTAACTAAATGGGAAAGACCTCCCCATGGTTTTGCTAGCAGGACGAAACAAATGTGGTAAAACGACTGGGTTTGGGGCAGTCTTAAGAGACGCAAACGGCCCCTTTATTGCAGCAAGATATTGAAAGCAAGCTGGCCATGTGGACACACTTTTTGATGGAGGCAAATGTGATTTCGCTAGGAATCAAGTGCCTTGTGGAAATGCAGGTCAGGAAAGTAGAGATTGAAAGTGATTCTCTAGTTATGATTAGGTACCTTAAAGGCAATGATAATTTAGTATCAAGTCTGGGGCATATAGTAGATGATATTAAATCACTTAACGTGAGTTTCTGGGTAATTTTATTTAAACATGTTCTTAGGACCGGAAATCAAACCGCAAGTCACCTTGCTAAGTTAACTACAATTAGCAGTGGAAGTTGTTTACTTGGTGGCAACATCCACCTCCTTGTATTGGTCCTTGGTTATATACCAATAATAATATCTCTTTCTCATATAAAAAATTTACACGGTATGAACAGATCCTGTCTCTTATATATATATATGATCTGGCAAGTAAATAGTTCATCAGAAGCAAGAATAGATACTCAAACCAACACTACTTAATTTGAAGGTTTTGTTATGGTAATTGGTTTGACAATGCATGCACACGAGGTGTATGCAGTAAATAGGAAGGAAAACCCTTCCTTGGGTCCCAGTATACAAATTTTAAGACCTGGAATGCTTCCTCATATTCAACCAAACGAATTCAGCTAAACTAACAAAAAGGATTAGCAAATCCCAGACCAGAGTCATCAAATGAATACAATATCATCAGACATAAACTAGGAAAATGAAGTAATATGTACTTACCTTGACTCAACCTCATCAGCAGTTCCTACAGGACTCACTCTTCTCCCTCCTCCAGAGGCAACATCGTCCATGCTTTGACCACGCCGCGTATAGCGACCTCCGGATGCAACGAATGCAGGGCAAGGACGGTAAGCCTTTATAGGCCACCAACCAAACCCTGGGACTGTTGCAATCCCTCCTTGAATCCTCCCCTCACCATTGCATCCCCTCTCCAATTCATCTTTTCCGCAGGCCTTGCAACCCCTGTGAATGTGTCAGCCATCTTCTTAGGCGAAAAATACCAAAACAAAATACAAATACATCAAATCACAATTTTCTAAAACAAAGCGGTGCGATTGAAATGGATGGCCGGCAGTTCAAAATCGAATTTTAGATTGTACCCACCAAATAACGTGATGTACTGCAGCCATTAGTTAACAATAGATTAATCTAATTCATAGATTCAAGAAACTTAAAAGAAAAGTGCCTTTAACCGTGATTAGGAGCATTTAGCATCAAAATTCAGGCCATTGGTTAAACTTTCATATTAACTTACTAAATAACATCCAAGTTATACGAATATGGATGGTACCTGAAAGGAGGATCTTCAACTGCAACCATGGTGGAAGATTCTGATTCGACGGCAACGCCATCAGATGAAGCAGCAGATGAGAAAGGGATGGTAAGCCTAAATGGGTAGTTGACGGAAGTTATGGAGCGAAAAGAGATGGAGTAAGGGCGCTGAAAGGAGGAGGTTTTATGAGATAGTGGTGGGGGTGCTGAGAGAAGCGCCACTGCCATTCCCTCTTGTTGAGTTGCTCTGAGTGGAAATGGATAAACAGTCAGCCACGAGCTTCCAGTGTTGTATTTCAAAATATAAGGTCCACAATGAGACACGGCAGAATGGCAAAATATAAAAGCGTGAAGTTCAACCGAGATTTGAACTCGGGTTACTGGATTCAGAGTCCAATGTCCTGACCTCACAATCATGGAACCTAGTTGTCAAGGTTATTGGATTTCATTATTATTATTGTTAAGATTGAATTTCGTCGACGTTATGATTGAAAATTTAACTTTTGAAAATGCATAAACTCAAATCATTTAAATTAAAGTACGTGAATAATTCAATAACTTATGCATAGAATATATACTCTCGAGACATGAAGCTTTTGATTATCCCATATATATCCATACTATTACTGAACCATGATTACATTACCAATTAAATATATACAAATTTAATTAAATTTATTAAAAATATTTTTTTAAAACTAATAATTAATGACATCTAAATAATGAGTAGCTTTATTATAATGATATTTTTCTCTTTATACTCTTATATAATCTTAAATGAAATAACAAAAACCTAATTTAAAAATCAAACCCCCATTTGATATGATTTGTATATTTTAATAAATATTCTATATAATATTTTCTTTTATCCAAATCCATATTGTGCTCAATTTTGTGAATCCACCTTCAATTCACATGTTTACAACCATGTAAAGAATTGTTGAAAAAATATACTATGTACAGCCATAATTATGATATACTAAGAAGCAAACAAATAATAAAAAGACTAAAACGCAAAGGTTCCCTATTTATCAGAAAATACGCAAAACTCAGATGGCAAAGCCAAAAATATAAGAATCGTCGAACCATATGTATACAAATTTCAAGCAGCTTATTTTGGATAACTAACAAATTACTAGTACCGTGTTTTGATGTTCGAACCTGTGATCTTTAGAAACAATAAATATTTCTTTAATAATTGAGGTAATTTAGTTTGTGCAACTCTCTTTCGTCTGTTATCCATGAACAATAAATTATGATAAAATAAACATTAAAGCAGTGTAATGAAGCAAAGAAAACAAAATATAGACCTCTCGATTTTCCAGGCAACTACCCGCCAATTTATATAGCCCAATAAGCCTTTTCAGGTTGAAACAAAGTCAGCCCAATGACTTGACTGGCACCATTAATGGAATAAATAGTTGAAAGCTTTCCACCATTCTCCACTACTGAGTTGCTTGTAGTCGGCAATTCCATTTCGATGAAAACACTTAACCGCGAAAGAAGAACCAGATTCTGTCTAAAGTTGACTACATTTTCCAAACCCGAACATCAGGAATAAAGAATAACCCACGTTCATGCACGCTCATGGCGAATAAATGGAAATCTTCGGACAATAACCCACGCTCATGTCGAATAAATGGACGCTAGCACAACAAGGTCTCTATGTTACAGTAATTATATAACATCAACCAAATTAAGAAGAAAAAAAACAACATTTGATGGGCTGCGTTTGCACGAAGCATCTGGTTAAATATGAAGATCCATCCATTCTTGCTTCTCAAACATGCTGTAAGTGAGCTTGCTATATTTTCTTCTAGGGTTTGAGCTTCACTGATCTTTTTTTTTATATAACAATGTTGATGCAGTTAAAGAAACTGAAATTCAAGCTTTGCATGAGCTTTTCAGAAAACTAAGCACTTCTGTAGATGATGACAGCTATATAAGCAAGGTAACTTTTTTATATTTTTTAAGAAACACTCATGCAGGTATTGAGAGTGATTTTTAACATACAGGAAGAGTTTCGGATTGGCTTGTTCAGGAACAGAAACGAGCAAAGCCTCCTAGCAAACAGGGTAAACATTCTCTTTCACTGCTGGTTCCATTGCAGCCATTGTTTCACGGGATAACGATTGACAAATCCCTGGTTTGGTAATAGATGTTCCAGTTATTTGATGCCAACAGTGATGGGTTTATAGAATTCGGAGAGTTCGTTCGATCTCTAAGCATCTTTCACCCAGATGCTCCTCGCTTGCAAAAAGTTGCGTGTAAGAAACTTTCTTCCTTTCATGGTTCTGAATGTATATGTGTACTGTGTGCATGCAAGTGAGACAATTTATGACGCCTTATTCCGGTAAGCCATCTAACTTTTTTTAAAAGAAAAAAAAAAGAATTAATGTCATTTTTCCCACTTAATTTTTAACTACAAAATTTAATTAAATAATTTTTTGTCTAATATTAATCATTAAATTTATTGGTATGATATCAATAATCAGTTGGTCTAGTGAGATGAGATATTAGATCCTTTAATAAAGGTAAAAGATTTCAAACCCAAAGTTTACGAATAAAACAACTTGGGTTGATAGGGGTACCCTCTCTTGTGTAGATTAATAAATAATATTTTACCATGTTATTAAATTTTAGGTATTTTAAATAATTAAAAATAAAAGTGAATTTTTCTAGAAACCGAGAATAATTGAAAGAATATTTAAAAATACAAAAAACGAGAATAATTGAAAGAAGAAAAAGGGAAGAATATTTAAAAAGTGAATTTTACAGTTTATGAAATTTGCTAATAATGCTATACCATATCACTAACTCTTTTTCCTTTCATTTTCATTTGATATTTTATTTTCATTTTTTAGTTTTAATTTAATTATAGCTAAATGTTGGGGGGGGCCCGGGGGAGGATATTTGTTCCATCTCTATTTCAGGATTTTGATCTCTTCGTTGCCTTAGGTTTATCTCTTATTCTTTTTCCTCTCTTTTCTCCCTTCAAACTTTAAGGAATTTTAAAATTAGTATTGCTTCTTGAAAGTTTATCATTTTCATCTCTTGGTTTTTTCTAATACTTTGTAATAATTGTTATTATTTGAACTTTGAGCTATTTTATTACTTTTTTATCAAAATTAACTATGTTGTGATTTTTAATATTTATAATTATTTTAAATTTATAAACTTTTGAAAAATATATGAAATTTTCTTATTTTTTATACTTCTTAAAGTATTATTTTTAATTTCTTATTTAGAGAGATTGAATATTCACCGGACCGAACCTCCACCAACGACACAACAACTGTCATTAGCTATTCCGATTGCAGTCACCAAATACTAATATATATTAGGTAAAAGAAGAGGAGAGACGAGACAGAGGAGGCTGGAGGGCGGCTAAGAGAGAGATGGGAAAGGAACAGGGGGTCGGGTGGGAGGACGGGAGGGAGGGAAAGGGAGGGGATTGGGGGGAGGAGGGTCCGACGGGAAGAGGAATATTTTTTAATTTTATTTAAAAATAAAATCTTTAAAATTATCAGAATACAAAATGTGTTATTTAATGAAAATTTTTAATAACCGTTACGATCAGGATACTTAAAGTGGTAGTGTTTGTAACGTTAGTGACCTGAGTTAACCGAAAAATAGATTTAGGCAACTAAGTGATAAAAATAATATAGTTTCAACATTTATTTTTATATTAATTATTTTTTTTAAATACTTGAGAATGATTATGTTGCAGTCGCATTTCAATTGCATGATATATGGGAAACCGGGTACATCGAACCCGTGGAAGTAAAGGAGATGGTGGTGGCTCTTCTAAACGAATCGGACTTGGCTCTTTCTGATGATATTGTGGACGCCATTGTTGATAAGGCATTTGAAGATGCAGATTCAAATGGAGATGGAAAAATCGATCTGGAAGAATGGAATGAATTTGTTGCCCGTAATCCCACCTTGATAAAACACATGACCATCCCATATTTGAAGTAAGTCAATTCCTCTGTTTCGTTTCCAACTTTTGTTGTGTATTAACCACCGTTGGGGATTTCACATTGCAGGGACATAACTGCTTTTCCTAGTTTTAACAACACCACCAAATTACACTAATCTCCCATCATTAAAGCTGTCTGAAATTAGCAGCATCTTGGGAAATGCTCAATACAAATTTGGATGGAGATGTGGGACATGATCATCAGAAGATTAAGTTACCTTAAAAGTTATAAGCACTCTTCTTCTTCTGGAAAAAAAGAAGGAAAAAGAAGCACTTATGTTTCCATTTTAATGGTATTGCCTTTGCATGGACTCAGTTGTAATGGGAATCTCTTTAGGTGCATGTTCTAGACTAAATCCTTACACATGATGGCACCATCTCATCAGCTTTGCTGTCTCAAGGCAAAACTCCATGCCAAAATCAACGACTCTTCAATTAATTACAATTATAATATGATTTACGCCTCGTCTTTCCTACTTTGATCTAACTTATTGTATAGTGTCATTTCCCTTACTCAAAAAGCATTGGTGCCATTGATATAATGATAGTTTGATACTACACAGATAAATGTACTGTATCCTGTTTAGGGACGGGCATGGAACTTCAACCCGACAGGTTCTGACCCAGCTCGATTTGATCAGGTTGAATTTTTTTTATAAAAAAAAATTGAGTTCGAATTGGATCAAATTTTTTAGAGGTTGTATTCGGGTCGAGTCGGATCAGGTTTAGGGTGAAAAATACTCAATACGACCCAAAAAATATTATTTTACCTTATATTTAGGGATAATTACAATAATATCCCTCTATATATTATTTTTTTCAATTAAATCATTTTTATTGAATAAAACTAATATTTTTTAATAAATATATTATTTTGAGTCGAGTCAATTCGGTCGGGTGGATAGTTTACACTTTTCGGACCGGGTCAAATCGGATGGAGGGTGTATAATTTTTTGGTCGGTTTTAACCGGAAACTCGACCCAACTCGACTTATGCTCATCCTTAATTATGTTGCTTTAATTTTGAAAGATGGTAATCTATTAAGATTTTTTTAATAGCTTGATACCATTATAAGATAATATTTATGTAAATCTTATTGATGTCGATGCTCGAATTTAAGATCTGTAAGGAGATTAACATTCCTTTTTACTGGTGAGGCCACTTTATGGGTTAAAAAAACATATAACAACATTAAATTATGTTTTTGGAGTATTTCATTTTCACTTTTAGTGCAATAAATGATAACTTATTTTATTTGCTTTTTGACATTGTTTAATGATTTTTTTAATGATTTTGCCCCTTAATTATAGTGTTTTTTGAAAAGTTACATTCCCTGCATTATTTTTAATGATTTTTAATAAATATTAACGTGTTTGTACTTAATAATATTTATGATTTTTAATTTTTCGATATTTTTAAAAATAAAATAAATAAATAGAATATTTTTAATGATTTTTATTTTTTATATGTTTTTAAAATTTTAGATTTTAAATATTTTTTATTTTTAATAATTTTCACTATTTATTGATGTGGTAATCCAATTATAACCTATAACTCGTTGTCTTATTGATTCATTAGTTAATTAGCAATCAAAGTTGATCAACATTAACAAATAGATTAAATTATTATTTTTAAATTCGTAAGGGTACAATTGTATATTTTTTACATGAGGGCGCAATTGAGTTTTTATGCATTTCAGAAGGAGTTTTAGAGTATACGCTTTTATTTTACTAATAAATTAATGTACTTCTCTAATGATTTAAGTTCATATGTCTCTGGTTTCTCTTTTAATCAAAATGATAAGGAAAAGGAAGGAAGGAAAAAAATATATTTTTAATAAAATATGTCATTTAAATAAAATGAGATAAATTATATCATCAATCACCAATTTATTATCTTTTTTTTTATTTTAATCGTTTGTTTGTTTTTAATAAAATCATCATTAATATTGACCATTATCCTAAAGCCTTAAAACCAAATTAATTAGTTTACCAACGATGCAGTACAAGAACCCCTTTCCTAACTGACCAAATTGCATTCATCATTAACCCATAACCTTATAACAATGAGCATGGGTCGGATTTGTTATTTGGTTTCAACTAAATTTAAAAAAGTCTCATTAACTTAAATTCTAGCTAATTTCTAAAGTAAAAATCTATCTCGATTCTATCTAATTTAACATCAATCTTCGAAATCTAACCCAAATTTTTTTTTTTACAAAAGGACTATTTTTTTAGATTGAAAAAAAGGACATAATTTTGACTTAAATTCATGGATATCAAGATATTTTCTTATGAAACAAATATCGAATCTGAAATTAGGAGGTTTAAAAGGGATTGTTAGGGAATTTTAGAATCTAATGGTAACCGACGATGATGGTCGGTGAGTTATCAGTAATGATTTTAAGGTTTTAAAAAATTTGGATTACAAAAGTAAGAGAAATTATAAAACGAAAAAGAGTGAAGAAGGAAAAATGTGAACTAAACCTAAAAGAATATTTTTATAGTAAATTATTTTATGTTAGGTGATCAAATAATTTTTATCTTAAATTTGATTATTATTTTTCAAAATTTGATTCATTTCGTTCTGCACTTAATTTTTCTAAGAAAACCTTAATCTTATAATATTAAATATTCAGATCAATTAGAAGTCATTAAATGCGAATCTTATATATATATATATATCCTCACATATAATATAAAATAAGGGTAAAGTATAGTAATGATCACTGAACATTTCTGAAGCTTGCATTTAGGTCCCCCAACTTTTAAAACTTACAATACAGTCCCCTAACATTTATTCCGTTTGCAATATGGTCCCCAACTTAAATCACTGTTAGAAAATTAGGGTAAATTATATAAACGGTCATTGAATTTTTTCAGGCACTTGAATTTAGGTCCCCAACTTTTAAAACTTACAAAACAATCCCCCAATAATTTTATTTTCTTATTAAATATAGATGTATAGAAAATATAAATGATTCAATTTATATTTAAATGTATGAATCATTTATATTTTTGATATATTTTATTTTTCTTGTATAAACTAGTATTTAAAATATGTCTATATTTTAATCAAAATATTTCAATATACGAATAAAAATATATTTATATAAATGTATATTTATATTTAGATGTATAAATAAAAAAAAAATATTCATATATTAATGTATGAATCATTTATATTTTTTGAATATTTTATTTTTTAATAAGAAATTAAAATTATTAATTATATTAGAAATACTCAACTTAAGATTATATATATAATCATGAATTATAAATATGAAAAATATAATTATTAAATTTAGTTTAAAAATATATAAATCTTAAATTTATTATTTTAAAATATTGTATCAACTAATATTTAAAAAATATATTAAATATATCAAACAATTTATCAAATATAATATTTTTTTATTGTAAAAAATATAATATTTTCCCATCATTTATTGCTTTCAAATTTTTTGCTGAAGTTCAAATCTCATTATTTCCATTTTCTATTATATTCTTTTTTTTCTGGCATTGGTCATACTATTAGTATATGTATTATTGTATATCTCTTAACACAAACGATGGTGTTAGCTTAGTGGCTCCACCCTATATCTTTCATTTGCGTGACTCAGGTTTGAGTTTGCCCAAGACCCAAATTTTACTTCTTTGTAACTTAATTTTCTTCTAATTAGGTGGTGACATGTGTCACCAATAACATATATCATGATCATGTGTTAACACATGTCAGACCCTGGTTAAATGATTAATTTATTAAATTTTATTTAATTTAGGACCAAATTGATAGCATATATAAATAATTAGGTGGTGACATGTGTCACCAATGACACGTGTCATGATCATGTGCTAACACATGTCAGATCCTAATTAAATGATTAATTTATTAAATTCTATTTAATTTATGACCAAATTGATTATATAAATAATAAAGACTGAATGTATAATAATGTCAATTCCTTTTAACTGCCACTTCATCATTTGTATCAATTGGTAACGACTAGTGGCTTAGTTGAAACAGTTAAATAATTATGTTGTATGATTGATAAATTTAAAAGATCGATGACAAAAGTAAAAAGGGCTAGATAGTTAAGTTGTCAACCTAGTAGTTTACACTTTTATTTATACGTCAAAATAACATTTTATAAATTTAAAATTCGAATTATTTTCAACCTCTTCTATATCCTAACTACTTTTTTTAATTAAAAAATTTCTTCAACAGATAAGAATTATACTATTATATTTATATAAAAAAATACGTATCACATGAAATAAGATGAAATTAAATAATAATAAATCTGACATAATTGAATTTAATTGAATTATTTTGGAATTTAGGGTTTAGAATGAAATTGAATTACTTTAGAAATTGGGGTTTAGAATGAAATTGAGGATATTTTTGTAAGTTTTAAAAGTTGGGGGATCTAAATTCAAGTGTCTGAAAAGTTCAATAACCTTTTATATAATTTACCCTAATTTCTAACGGTAGTTTAAGTTGGGGGACCATATTGCAAATAGAATAAATGTTGGGAGACTGTATTGCAAGTTTTAAAAGTTGAGGGACCTAAATGCAAGCTTCAAATATGTTCAGTGACCATTACTATACTTTACCCATACAATAATTATCAATAATCTAAGATACAAATACATTGAACTGACATCGTTATTATTATTATTTTTAACAATTTATATCTCCTTTTACTTTTACGAAGGGGGATATCCAATTGAAACAAGAGAGAGGGATTGCTTTCAAAATGGGCAAACCAAGGGAGAGAGAGGGAGAGGAGAGATACTTCATTAGGAGACATAATGATGCATTAGACGACAAAGCCACTCGCTACTTTAATACATTGTAAGAATAATTTGGGGACCCTTCTCCAATGAACTTGGATCTTGCTATTAAAGAAAATATACTACTTGCTATTAAAGCCAATAAGCGACACAAAATAATAATAATTCTTTTGATTATTGGATAAACCTAGTTTACTCTTAGCTTTTAAATGCCACACACGTGTAGTTGTACCAATTAATAAATACGTATTTTTCATAACAATATTTATTTAATTATTATTTGATACATTGTCCAAATCCCAAACATTACTTCAGTTTCTTTTGGGCCCATATTAGTTTAATCTGAAAAGGGAAGAATAATCCTAATCCCCCCTTATATTATTAAATAGCCACGTCATTGGTTTGGTAATTTGGTCAGCTTTCACACTCTCAAATTAACTCTCCCCCATTCTCCCCCCCTTCCTTCCTTGAACTTACCCAAATGACCGTTACTGACACGTGGAGTTCTTAATTTAATTTTAAACGATTCCCCCGTCTGAATCGTTGGGTCAAAGCTTTTATATAAAGCCAACGGCTAGATTACCGTTTCTCCTCCTCCTCTCTCACTCATCGTCGACGATTTAATTTTGGCGAAAATATCGTGCAGATCGC